GAGAGAGAGAGAGAGAGAGAGAGAGAGAGAGAGAGAGAGAGAGAGAGAGACAGAGAGAGACAGAGACAGAGAGAAAGAGAAAGAAAGAAAGAGAGAGAGAAGAGGGACGTGAGCATGTTCGCTTCGATTCTACTCCTCTCACTTCTAGTGTTCGTACTTTCACTGGGTCGGTGTAGAAAGGACGCCATGTCCCGTTTGAACCGAGCACGACCAAGATTTCGTTGTCTTTCAATGTTCTGCGCTGATCTAAGGCAGCGCAACTTCAATAGCTAGACACAGCATATCTGCGAGCGGTAACGAATACCACAAGGCCAACAAAAATGCCGAAGAATGCGAGCCTTCGTGTCCAGCGAAAATCGTAAACGATGACGCGCTGCATGCGAGACACCGCGCACTTGCTACTACTGCTGTGTGCACTGCACCTCATCAGCCGCACGAAGAGCCACCTCTAACTCTTTGGCGCGTTCCTCGGCTTGTGCCATCTCGCTATAGTGCTTCTCGCGGTCCGTTTCCACGTTGCATAAGGTATCCGCGAGCTCAACTCTGCTTCTGTACATGTCCGCCTCTAGCCGCTTGTATTTCTGGCGTTCCACCCCAAGCGCGATATCCTTCCGCGCTGTCTGTTTTTGTTTGCCGCGCGGCCGGGTGAGCGGAACACGAGAGGGAGACACCAATGAGGAGGAAAGCACATAAACAAGAGCACGCGGCTGCTGTGTCTTTAGAAGGGTCGACCGTCGAGCTTTGAAAACTTCGGTTCGTGAGCTCTACTCCAAGACTGTGCCGTTGAAGCACCCACACGTTGCGCTCGATAGTTGGATGTCAGCCAGAGTCAGTCCAGATTCTATTCGAAAACAGCTACTACCTTTCACTAGCTAGCGTGCAGCATACCGAAGAAGCATTTTTCGAGTTTTCAATCACCTCAAGATTTGCGTAGCACACTTGTTTATTGGCCTGCTGCACAGCGCGCATAGCTTTCATCGCAAGCCTCGATCCTCCAGCTAGCGCCGTCTCCATCTCTCCATCCACAAGAGCCTTTGGCGCGTTGGTGGTGGTGATGTTCGCCCTCGATCTGCTCCTGCTCCTCCTCCTTCTCCTCAAATGTCGGTCGCAAGAACTCGGCCACCAACCGTACGGGCCGCCAATGCTTCCAGTCTCCAGCCCGCCTCGCTGACTTGGAGGGCCGGGGTCTCCGCCGACGCAGTGCTCTGATGACTTGGGCCTCTTGCTCCCGGTGGCCGTTTGTCTTTTGCCGTGGACGTCCACACGTGGAGTGATAGTGGCGGCGATGGCAGGAGCATCCTCGAACCCTGCAAGGAACTGCTCGGTTGCTGAGCAGGTTTGTTGCCCGCCCTCAGCAGCAAGTGATACTTGTAGTCTTCCTTGCAGACCATGCTGCTTCGACATGGATGTCATTTGTAGACCTGTCCGGTGGCTGCTTCCCCCCTCCGGAAAGGCGGTGCATCACACTACAGAGATTGAGCGAAGGCACTATAGCTTCGCTGCATGAGAACCTGCCCGGTCGAGAACTACAACCACGGGCGAAACACTAATGTGGCAAGGCAGTTACGGACTACACCAGCTTCGGGGCTGTGGTGTTTGCTTGCGCAGCCCCCACACGGGGCGATGTGTGTTTGCAAGTACGTACACACGTGTAGGATTGACAGTTTCGAAATTCGAAATTGCGCAGGTTGCGGCACAACCACGCTTCGACGTGAGAATGAAACTCTCCTGAGGCGACGCCCGAAGGGGTTCGTTCGAAATCTTCACTTAGAGGGTGCTGGGAGAAGTCAAGCACGTGTTTCGGTCGAACGATTTTCACATCTTTATGCACAAACGCAACACCTGCGCACAAACACAACACACAACGTCGTCATGATGCGGCGTAATTGTTTTCATGCGGTGTAACTTCCGTCGAACGCGGCGTAATTCCCAGCCGACAGTAGGGGACCCAACAACCAAGCACCTTGCGCCCAAGAACGCGGGCGGCGTGGATCCAACATGTCTGTCTTAGGCGGTGGGTCGTCCCTCGACACTGAGGCTCTGCTTTTGAACGACCTCGGAGCGTCCTCCCTCGCCCCAACGTCATCTTGTCGCCCATTCCTGAAGGCCAAGTTCCAGGTAATACTGTCGGAAACATACATACAAACACAAAGAGTGAAATTAAACAACATAATAACATACATGAGACACACAAGACAGCTACCAAACTGATTTTCTGAGCCTGTCACCCGCAGGGGAGTTGTCCCTATAGGCTGTCTTGGAAATCGTAGACATACAGGTAGTTTTCTCTGACGCTATAATTCCATTCATTGTTAATCTGTCTCTGACTCTTTTCTATGATAGAGATGGACTCGTTGTGTCATATTGTGTCACTTTTTTTTTTTATATACAGTGACACCACTCCCGTGTGCCCGCACATCAGCCGCACATACTCCGCACATATGCATACCAAACTGAAAATACGCATGTAAACTGATGGACACTGTATGTCCTACAACTAACAGGGTGCCACACACAAAACGCCCGACTAACCAACAGTACCCAACACCTCTCGTCTGCACCTTCCCAACATAACATATATGAGACACACAAGACAGCTACCAAACTGATTTGTTGAGCCTGTTACCCGCAGGGGAGATGTCCCTATATGCTGTCTGGGAAATCGTAGACATACATAATAGTTTTCTCTGACGCTATGATTCCATTGTTAATCTGTCTATGACTGACTCTTTTCTATGATAGAGATGGACTCGTTGTGTCATATTAAGATTAAGAAAAAAAAGACTACTGCTGCAGTCTACCCATTCGAGATAAGACCACAGTCGAAGGTATGTTTCAAGTGCGGTGCATAAATGTACAATTCACGAGACTGGCATCAACGTGTCGGCCCAGGTGACCCCTTTTACCCTCAAAATGGGACCCTCGCCCGATATCGCCAAGAACGCCGTATGCGTACGTGAACGAAGCTGCTGAGTCTGGCGCCCAGCGTACCTTGTGCACGCTAAGCAGGTGCCACGGTTCGAGTTGGGGACGTAAATGTTCTTGCTACTGTAACGTTGCTGTGGACTGCCGTTGATGAACCCACCCGGCACCTGTACCCTTCGAGCGCACAGATTGGAAGTGTGAAGGGACCGAAGAACTTCTCCAGCGATCAGACTGTGTTTCACAGAGACGATGTACCCGCCACCAAACGCGAACGCAAGAAAGAAGTCAAGGAGGTGAGTCCTTCGACTTTGTACAGCGCGTTGTTTAGGTTTTATTGTACTGCAAATGGACTGTTGTAGTCAACGGCAGCAGCAGGGTTAGACTATGCTTCACGACTTCGAGGCTGAGTTTGTACACGAGTGAATCTCCACCACGATATTTCGAGTCATCATGCAAGCATGTGCATCGGCAAATTGTAGCTACACAAGCGATTTGGTCGTAATACGTGTGAATCGTCACAGACCTATTCTACGACACCGAAACATTCAACTCAATTAATAGGTTTTGGTGGGACATCAAAAGTGTCATCCCTAAGAAAACGTGTGTCACTTGCTTCACACGGATCGATCCCTTGTCCCGCCCACTTATTGTATAAAATAACCAAAAGCGAGCGACTTGATCTCAAGACAACCACTGGCGCCCTCAACACTCCATCCATCCACCCTTCACTGTGTAGAAAAATACTCGCTCAACAACAACCTTATTACGAAGGACAACCATGCCATCGACAAAACGAACAGTGGAAGGAGAGAAGAATTCTCCGAATGGGGAAGCCGCCTGGCTGGGCCTCTAGCGTGACCCTCGATCACGCCCGGACGAAGTACGCCAGAACGAAGAGCAACTCCGAGCTCGACCCGGGCAAGCCCTATCAGTACAATTACCGCGCGGAGGTACTGCCGCCCAAGAGTCCCGACCCCGTGCCAAAGTCAAACATGGTGAGTAAGGTTTTTACTTTTTTGTCGCTGCCCCTGCCCGGGGTTCGGGGATGAATAACTACCCTCCTGTCCCACGTGAGCAGACCGAAGTATTGTACCGCTACACGAGTCAGCGTACTGGGTTTCGGCTCCTTTCCTCTATAAGGCGGCATTGTATAGACACCTGCGTCATGTCCAATTCTGTGGCGAATCCCAACCTACACGTGGAATGAGTTGCCTGAATGAGCGAATGGCTACCAAAGCCGTGTTTTGTGAGAGGCGACATATTGTAGCAGTACTCGCTGCCGGCGTGTTTCGCCAATCTGTGCATCCGGGGGGATGATGTCGGTGTTCGATTCTGTACTAAACATTGACGATCAGAGGAAAAACAAATGCGTGGGGACGAGGCTACCTGCATCTGAATACGCCAGATCGGGTACCCTTGCCTCTGGACCGATTCACGGAGCGTCCATTCCGTAGCCCAACCCAATGCATCCTCCTCCCAGTGATTTGGTTCACGGAGTGCCAACCAGGGTATGTTGTAGCTCCGCACACTCACAATACAGTTGTTGTGGCATTTCTTGCAGCAAGTAGCTCGGAAATTGGGCAGACCAGCGGTTGTACAAACGGTTTGGAGTAGGTAGCGCCATTCGCCGCCCCTGCGGGTTCCCCAAGACTTCCACAAGCGAGACACGCCAGGGCGATTTTCGTTCAGTTCCAGGTGTCTGGAGTCACCAACGAGGAGGCAGCAAGGAGGCGGATTTTGAGAGCAAACTACCCTGACAACGCCCTGGAGCAACCGAAACGAATTGAGGAAATGCCTTCCAACAAGAGACTCGACGGCAAGATCCGCTGGAACCCGTCCACTCAGGTGTGTGCATATATATGACGCGTTGCGTGTGAATCTCTCAGAGATAGTTCCTGCAGTACGTTGTTCTTGTATGGCTGCCCTTGTCTGAAGCCTTTGTGGATTGATGCTCAACATCGTGCGAGACAAGGCCGGGGCGTGAGTATACACGATGGAGGAGAAATCGTGCAACCGGATCGCTCTTGTACACAACTTCATTCGACGAGAGAACACCGGCAGAAACACGCACTGGATCTCCTTCGTCCTGCGCATGCCGCAATCTGAAACGAGGAGTTAACATTTCCCCACAGCAATAAACCATCATAATATTTTCGAATAATTTCCGAGAGAGAGCAACCCGCTATTACATGCTGTCCTACGGACACACACGCTACGGAACCGTGCAGGATACATCTGGTGTGTCATGGCGAGATTTGGGCCCCTTTCCACCCAAAAGGTCTTTCATTGCTGTAGTAGCTGGTTGCTATATCTGTCCTAGCCCATTCTACCTTTCCTTTCTCAGTTATCATGCTACGTTCGCCATACTCTTCATGATGCTATCGTGTCGTTGCTTTTCCGACATGAACGTTGACTCTCATAGTGTGATGCTCGAGAGCGGCGGCGGGAGCGCGACGAGTACGAAGCAGCTTGCAAGCTCGCCACTGCCAGGAAAAACGGCACGTTAAGAAACTACACCGCACCCGAGCAGGTGGGGTTTCGAAGGGAGAGTTGGCTCGAAACCCGGATAATGTGTTGTTTCTATCCCAACCTTTCAGGTGGTGGTCTACATCCATCTGAACGCGAGGATCTAATAGGGACCTTCGGTTTGCCCTGGCTGCCCCCATACCCTATTCTTTTTACGTGGGTGAGAGGTGGTGATAGGTTGGTTGTTTGGAAATAAACCAGACAGCGAGCACGCCACATAAAATGGGCGGGATAAATCCGAACTGAATTTATTCCCGGGGCGGTGGTGCATACGCTGACCTCCACACTCCTTCGGGGATGGAGTGGGACAGGTCTGATCGGCGACAACAGCACCCAAGCATGACTTCCACCAAAATAGAAAAGTATTTGTCCACTTCACGAGCTACTTGGTTTTAGAGCGGTACTCCTCCCCCTTCTCCTCCCATGACGTAGATGTTGTTATTCAAGTTCCGAGTGGAGTTAAAGGGGACCCCACTGCCTGCATCCGGCTTTGCTGTGCTGGTTGTAAATGTCTTTGGGTTTCTTGGTGTTACTTAGTCTCTTGGCATCTGCACCTCATTGTCCTTGATGTTGGATGCACTTGTGACCAGGCCTCTTTCGATAGGTGATACAAGGTATCACAACCGGTGTATAATCCTAGCCTCTCAATCTTCAGCGAATACGTTCGAGATCAGAGACAGGTGGAAACGCTTTGCCACGCCTGTATATGACCCCTCCTTACCACCTCTACCGCCTGGTCGAGGTAGCTGTTGTTCTGTACGGAACCGGCGGGCCTATTATAGTATATAGCAGCAGCAACAACAATAACAAAGACAACAACTTCTACTACAACAATGATTGCAGTGACCTCGAGTAACGACGACCGAATGTTTCTTGCTTGGATGACCCAGAGGGAGAAAGAGCAGCGGCAGTGGATCCGAAAGCTCAAGGCGGAGGGCCGGCTGTGGGCGCTGAAAGAGCGAGAGCCTAGCCCGCTCCTGCCAACCCACAACAGGCTGGCCAAAGACCCCATCCGCAGGTAACACCGTGCATCTGCTAGAAACGACCGCTGCATTCTAAATCGCTTATATCGTGGTCTGCAGAGTTGCAGAGCTATTCGTTGCACACAAGAAGAATTAGCGCCAAGAATGGACCGTGTCTTCAACTCTGATACCGGTTTCGCAGAGGATCTACATCATGCATCGATTCACCCCAGTTGAACCTTAGCTCAAGGCTAAGTGAAAATTTCATGCGCTCATGTACCCCGGCACCGATCATGCCCGGAACAAAATGAATCGCTGATTCCGTCGGACAGAACCAGAACGCACTAGACAGGGTCCTCATCAAGTGAGTTTCGCGATCATCTTCTTTCGCCGATCATCGACGGCAATCCGTACCATCCAGTGTACCGCAGACAACCAATCGAAAAATACATACGACACGCGACTTATCCTCGTTCGCACGGTACGTACGGCGCTTTCTTCTTACGCACGTACGTACGGCGCTTTCTTCTTACGGCTTGTGCACTACTGTGTTACCCGTAATCAGGATTCGACAGTATCGGCACTCGGGAAACTTTGAATTCCGCGAGGCCGACGGCTGCAAGATGTGGTCCGACACGGCCTGCTTCGAGGAATGCTCACCCGGCGATATCATCAGGGTACACAACCCCGCCGGCTTCAACTTCGCGGCTCCGTGCCTCACGAGATCGGTCGCGAGAGCATGGGGATCCACATGATGAAGGAACAAGCGAAAAAGGCGTCCTTGTTATCTCTGCAGGGCGCGTCAACAACTCACCTGCTACGTGTTGTTATGGCTCCCGAAGTTTTGTATTGTCCATCCTTATTTTCATAGTTGGTGTGTGCATGGTGGGAAGATAGCTCCATGCACGGGATGCTTATAGTGTTGGGTCCTGTCAAGTCACTGTTCGACAAACGCATCATTTAGCTGCGCTTCGCGACTCAATCTTGCAGACGGCTGTGAGAACACTAGGAAACGATAGCAGTAGTGGCTGTGATGGTGTGGAGGGATTCATACATTTTCCGTCAAAGGGAACAATTTTGCAGCACACGAAGTGAGTTCTCAACGGCATCACCGCGAGTTACTGAAATTACTCAGGATAGAAAGGAATGCCAGTGAAAGCTTTGCTCCCTCTGAGCCAGCCCGCCTGGTGGAGAGAGTGCTTCACTCGGGCTGTGTTTCAAACCGTAGGTCCACCCGGCCTGAACCCTCGAATCCAATGCTATCATCCATCAGCGTGAACCTTGGATGGGTGAAAATCCAGCAGCCGCTGTTCGTCTCACAACAGACCAAATAGTATTAGTAGTAGATTCGAGGTCACTGGGCCGCCGCGGGTAGCTACTACTGTACATAATGACTTCGGCCGCGTTGCGTGGGACAAGGACTTTCCATGCACAAAGGTCCATTTTGCCGTGGTCATGTCTCTTGTTTCTTCGCGTACGAGAGCACAACGAACAATTTTGCTCTGCTTCAAAAAGTACAGAACTTTCCGTTTTTCTTGCAGTGAAGCCGTCTGTGGCACACGCGTGTACTGTGCTCGGTGCGCGGATTTCTGGTCGAAGTCTTGCAACCGATGAGCTTCGGGAAAAAAAACACTTCCAGTTCTCACGCGCCATGCGTCTTCACCGAAGACCAATAGTAAAGAATATTATGGTGTTCAAACGCAATTACACAAAAATGAATTAAACGCACAAGGTCGTTCACGATCCCCCAACCATCAAGAAACAACTTAAGGTTTCCAACTCTGTTACCAGAGGTGCGTAAAGCGCCGAAAGAATATTAACCCCACCCGACACTGCAACCTGCCGAGTCCTTGTTGGCTCCGCTGAAGAGGGAACAATATAAGCAACCCTTCTACCTCCGGCAAAAACAAGGAGACCCTTAAGTGGCCGCACATGGTGTGCATGGGCGCACTACCCACCGGCTGGGGCCTTGTTATCATCCATCCAAATCTTGTAACATACCTTCGAAGCAAAATCTACCCGGGGGACCTCAAGAGTTCCGTACGCTATGCACACACCAACGCCCAAAACAACTACTTACCAGCCCCACCTACTCCTCTCCTCGTTGTGCATGCCAATTCTCGGGCAAAAAAACAACAACGAACTCAAGGCCATCGGGCCTGGCTCACGCTTCCGAGCGTTGCTGAAGGGACAATACTACAGTCGAGAACCACCGGAATAACTCGCCGCCGACTCCATGCCAACACGTTCCTCGGTTTCTGCAATTCTCCTTTTTTCTCTCTGTCGCTACAAAGAGCATAAACGATTAACATCTTTGAGGATAAGCACGATTGCCTGAGGCAAGCTGCGCTGTCAATTGACATGCTCCTGTTGTCTCTCTCTCTCTCTCTCTTCCCGTCGCTACTGGAAGTTGGGATCGCAAACATCCCAGAAGAACTCGCGGTAGCTCTCGTCGTCGGTGGGGGGCAGCTTTGCCCTCAGCTGCTCCACCTCCGCCTCGGGAACGCCGGCCAGGTTAGGAAAACCCCTGAGCTGCTCTTCCACGGGGTCCTTGTGGGAAGGGATTAGCCTCGACGTCAGGTAACGCGACCAAGAGGTTCCGTCCTGATATTTTTTTGTTTTTTTTGCGCGGAAAACAGCAGCCGCGACGAGACACGGAGGTATGAACAAAACATAACGAAACGGACATAAGAGCGTGAACAATAACGACAAAAAAAAAAAATAAACACCAGAGTGCAAACAAGCACCAACGTACTCGCAGTTGGAACGACGAATGTAAAACAACATTCGAAAAACACAAAACATGCCTTACGAAAAAGAACGCGATCGGACCAAAAACCTCCCTGCCGTGTCTCCACATCGTACTATTTTCAACACAAAAACGCCGACAGTCACGCATCCACTCCGCCCCCACAAGCAACACACCTTGAGGAAAACCACCGGAGCGTAAGGAAATCGTGAGCCCGCCTCCCCGGCAAAAAAGCTTCTGCACGCCTCTCGCACGGCCTCGAACTCCGGCCCGCACACGGCGGACCCGCTCCACACGAACACCCGGTCGTGGGTGTCCAACACCTTTTTTGTTAGTCATCACCGTATGTGTAGCGTCAAATTTTGTACAAAGTGCGCACATCAATCAAAATGCGTGTTGCCGGGCGTTATTTAGAGATGAGTCGCTTGTCTGTGTATATTGTTAGAGTCGAATAACAGCATCGACCGCGCTACAACCGGCACACAAACGGCAAGACGCCAAGTCGCAGTGCAGACAGAGATCACAACAGCGTGCAAAGGCCAGAATGTGTGTGTGTGTGTGTGTGTGTGTGTGTGTGTGTGTGTGTGTGTGATTGATCATTATGCTTCTAAAGGCCACCATTACATGTGTGTGTGGCTGTGTTTTTTTACCAGTATGATAGCATCGACCGCGCTAATTTACGGACCAACCACACGACGTCAGTCTCAGTGCTGCAAATACCGAAAAACAAAATTCTAAAGGCCGTGATCTCTCTCTTTCTCTCACTCTCTCGCCGTGTGCATGTGATGAGGTCGGAGTAACCCCGCAGAGCGATTGGAATAGAAATCGAGCACGGAAGGGAACGCAGCGGGGACACCCTTTGTGGTCGTCGACACGCGGGAATCGGACTTGCAAAACAAAAAAAAACTTCATCTGCGCACCCCGTCCTGGGTGAGAGCCCTTGGACGTCTGGCAGTTGGGGGGTACGTGAAAGGTAACGCGGGGAAAGCCAGGGAGGGGGTGGGGGTGATGGGGGGAGGTTGGGAGAAAATAGGCGCCTCAACAGCAGCCGTTTCTCTGTGGTGCCCCATACTGCCACGGCTACGATACATGCCATTTTCTTCGGGAGTCTGTACTGGAAGTCTTACCAGGACTCTGTCGGCGAGCATCGCCAGCGTCTCCACGGGGACACGCGAGAATGGGAACGATAGGCCTGCCGCCGCCGCGGCCGCCGACGTCGAAGCCGTCGGCACACGTTCCTTGGCCGTGTTGCCGCTGTCGCCACCGCTGCCGTTGCCAGCGGCCGTCAAGCACGCAAGTGCCTCCGCAGCCTGTTTTGGTCATGCACGAGGTCACGGTTTTTCCGCGGGTGGGTCAATCAATCGTAGTGATGCCTTGCTTGATCGGATGGCTGGACGAAAATCGCCCGCTTGTCAAACGGAAATACCGCGGTATTTTCTTGTGCGAGGTGTGGAACAACTTTATCTATGTCTCGCGCGGAATGTTGGGGGACGCGTACGGGGGACAGGACTAGAGTGGACACTCAGCGGTCAAGACAGCCACGACAACAGCAAGAAAAACAACAATTACAACGTCAGACCCAACTCAACCCGTGTTACCGTAGGCTACCTCCACGGAGACGGAGACGCCCATCGTCCATCACGCCGTCCGGTGAGAGAGGGTACGTGCAGAGGTAAAGCCACGCCCTCGCTCTTCACCGAGAATCTTTGAGAGCTCTAGATACCACCCTGAAGCACCCCCCCCCAGAAAAAAACGTCCCCCACTGCAAAAAAATATTCCTTGACCAAAACATACATATCTCCTAGAAAAACCCGCACACCACAATAAACAAAACGTCCCAGGGCGCGACAGCAGCAGAAGCGGCGGTGGCAGCTCCGCACGCACCTTCAAGGACACGAGCGAGGGCTCCATCATCCTCAGGCACTCTTCCAGGGCGCCCCTAAGGAACAGGTGCCGCAGGCACAGCGGGTCGTCCGAGTTCTGCAGGAGGGGGCCCAGCAGCGGGCCCCTCCTCAGGTGAAACAGCTGCAGAGGCAGCCGCCCCAGCTCCCGCGGGAAGACCGCATCTTCTGGTCTGCCGATCCCCCGCCCGCCCCGCGCCCCCGCCGCCGCCCCCGCTCCCGCCCCTGCCCTGCCACCGTTGCTACTGCCGGTGCCGCTGTCGTCTACCGCTGCTGCTCCTGCCGCGCGCGCAGAATGCGGGTCGGTAGATGACCCCGACAAGGGCGGGGACGCAATCGTCGAGAATACCCCGGCCTCTCCCCCCTCTGCGTCGGCCAGCGACGGCGGCCCCACGTCGCCGCCGCTGCTGCCGCCACTGCTACCGTTGCCACCGCCGGACACACTCCCTCTCAAGGCCGCGGGGAGCGGCGGCGATCGTTCCGGTCTCGTCGGCGGTGTCGTCGACGATGGCGAGCTGTTGTTATTGTTGTGAGCGGCGGTGGCGGCGGCGGCGGGCTGCCTCTTCCGGAAGTCCCGAAAGCGCGAGCTAACCTCCTGGACGACAGTGTCGACGGCCACGCGCGCCTCCTCTACCTCGTGCTGGTTCGTGCCGCTCTCTGTCGTGTGTTCATGTTCATGTTGAGGTTAGGACGTTGATGTTGACGTTGGCGGTCATCTACATGCAAGCATCCAAAGCTTTCCACAGTGTCAATACTTGCGTTGCCCGTGCGAAGGCGGCAAGAGGGGGCGAAACAACAACAACAACAACGCACCATGCCAGTGTAGCAGTCGTACGCATGCGGAATCGCACCAAAAACAGCACAGCACCTGTCAGGCAGAGGGGGGGAGCTCAGCGTAATGCTCCGCTACGCACCTGTCCCGAACGTGGCTCGCAAAACCGCCTCCTTCCCGATTAGAACCGACAACGCCTCTGGGTCCACAGTCTGGTCCAGGAGGAGGAGGATGAGGAGGAGGAGAAGGCGATAACATGGGGGGGCGTGCACACGAGGGGGCTATTCAAATGGCCGGCATCACAGCAACAGCTACAACAAAAGCAGCAGCAGCAGCAGCAGCAGCAGCAGCAGCAGCAGCAGCAGGAACAGCAAAACACCAAAACCGAACAACAACAAACGGCAACAGCAGCAGGGCCAGTAGGAGCAGCAGAAGCAACATTCCACGACTCCACTCCCGGAACCGACGGCAATAATGGTACCTCTATTTTGTTGTGTTTTTTCTCTTGCGGGTTACGGAAAACACCGAACCCCGCTACGCTGGGGAGAGTCAAAACAACCACCCCGAAGGGAGTCTAGGGCTAACTTTGCGGACCGCCNCGGCATCACAGCAACAGCTACAACAAAAGCAGCAGCAGCAGCAGCAGCAGCAGCAGCAGCAGCAGCAGCAGGAACAGCAAAACACCAAAACCGAACAACAACAAACGGCAACAGCAGCAGGGCCAGTAGGAGCAGCAGAAGCAACATTCCACGACTCCACTCCCGGAACCGACGGCAATAATGGTACCTCTATTTTGTTGTGTTTTTTCTCTTGCGGGTTACGGAAAACACCGAACCCCGCTACGCTGGGGAGAGTCAAAACAACCACCCCGAAGGGAGTCTAGGGCTAACTTTGCGGACCGCCTTGCCGAGGATACTAAGCGTTGTTCATGTGACATGGAGAGGCAACCCTACCCTCATCACCCTACCCCCGAACCCAAAATCCGTAGGCCTTACTAAGTCCATCCCCTTCGACTGTGGCTACATATTTGTCGGCCGACTCCACATGCGATTTTTCTCCGTGTGCGCGCCGCTGAAAACAAGAACTTTTGGGTGGGTAAGGCCTAGAATGTGGCTTAGAGCCAGGCTAGTGTGGTCAAAGTTATACATGGTACATCACACAACCAACAAGAGAGTAATGGGCGGAAACACTGGCCGGTGCAGGAGGCCTCACCCAACCAAACCCAACACTTACAGCATTGCATGATCGGGGTACGGAAAAATGATGCAACAGTATTTCTTTCAATGCATGTACATTTTCCAATACCAAGCTCAATATCCTCGCCAAGGCTGCTACTGCTGTATTCGACGGCTACGGTAGTTCGCAAAGCGTGTGCGCGTCGCACTCACTCACACCTGCAGGAAGCCGTGGCCGTCGTCGGTGACCGGCAGGCGGTGGGTGACGACTCGAGTTATCCTCCCGTCGCCTGCCGGCGACGAACGCCGAGTGACGAACTGGAACACAACGTGCTCATCCTGCCAAT